AAGAACGGATCTCGATTTTAAAAGTGACAGTCACATTGTGCTTCTTCTAAAAGCGTTTTACTTTTACTTTGATAAAAAAGACCACTCTTGCGAAGGAGCACAAACGTAGTTAAAACAAGACTAGTAAAATTTACAAAGTGTACTGAAAATCTTAGTGTGCGAATTTCGCACTCTAAATCACACACTTGTAGGCGAGTGAACTTCAATTCGTACGCTTGTATAACTGAAGGTGAAAATATTCATCGGGATTTCGTTCAAATGAGCCTACTTTGTAGGCGTGTGAATTCTTATTCTCACGAGTGCAAGTAAAGGTGAGAATTTTTCCTTGGAATTGTTCATGAGCTTTGCTACTTTGCTAGTGTATGAATTAAAATTAACATGCCTAGAGGTTGGCAACTTTCATACAATTGACTTCTGCTATGTGGAGGTGTGGGGACTCGCTACTCACCGGACGAGGAGGGCATGCCCGCGTGCGGGGACATGAAGTTGAGCTTGGCCGAGTGGTGGTAGAACAGGTCCGACTGGTACTTGTAGGCGGCGGGGTCGGCCGCCGCGGGCTGCGTGGCCGCGGCCAGGCCCTGGAAGTCGAACTTGTACGCGTACCGCTTGCCGTGCACTTTGGTCATGATGTTCTTGTCGTAGTAGTACCTGCGGAGAGTACAACCGGTTACAATCAGCTCACAAATTTTCTCAACAGAGCTGCTCGCTTTGTGAACTAACAAATTATTGTATACGACACCAATTTTCTAATCACTCTGTATAATCACTTTTTCTAATCACTCCATAAAACACCGCTGTCAAAATATCTAAAATTGACAAATTGTGTGGGAATCGTTTGACACAGCAGGAAAGAGTACTCTTCTGTATTTTGCAATTGTTGCTCCACCCGTTTTTCTGACACTGTGACACTATCTTTAAATGGTCCTGAATGGTCCGGAGGGTTTGCTAAGCCGACTCTGTCTCACCTGAGCGCTCTGCTGAGCTTGTCGTAGTTCATGTTGGGCTTGCTCTTGCGCTCGCCCCACCGCCGCGCCACCTCGTCCGGGTCCGTGAGCTTGAACTCGCCCTGCGTGCCCTCCCACGTGATGCAGCCCGCGTTGTTGCAGTCCGACAGCAGCTCGAGGAGGAACTGCCACAGCTGGATCTGGCCCGAACCTGGTGGACAGAGCGAGGGCGCGTGAGTATGCGTGACGTGTGAGCCGACCCCCTGCGTTGGGCTGTCTGTTCGCTCGCCGGGCCGCTAGAACCGTCCTGAAACACTAGAAATCCTAGAGCAAGGATTCATGCTCTCTGGTGAGCGAGAATTTGCTGTAAATTTCCTCGCTCTCTGGGGAGCTAGATTTGATTTCCTCGCTCGATTAGAGCAATAGATTTAGGAATGTAAGCACTCGGCACCTTGCGTTAGCTCGGCTTCGGCGCGCCTGCGAGACTCGGGGTAGGCCATCCCGCAGTACACGCGTGCACTGCAGTCGAGATGTTGCCTATCCACCAGGCGCCGTGGGTGGCATTCCCAAAGATGTCGTATAAAATAAAGGAGTATGGAAATTTCCCTATTGTGCCCTATGCCCATGTAACTAGTAAAGGAAACTGGTAAAGGCATCTTTGTGAAAATTCCGGATTTTTTTACAGATACAATTTTTACAGTTCAAACTGCAAAACCGAACAGTAAACACGGTTTCAAATGTCAAACTGTCCCCATTCAGTTGTGAAGTTCTAACTGTATACATATTCAGTTTTGCAGTCATAGAGAAGACGTAACGGAAGTAATCGTACGTAATTCGTGGTTGCAGGACGCACAACAACAGTGATAACAGCACGGGGAAAATCGCGATTATTCTGATGGTTCCCACCGACGGTAGCACGGCTCGCGCGGGGGGAGAGCGTGTGGGGGCTGCATTTAAAGTGCATGCGTTGTCTGGAAGGAGAAAGCGTTACACTTACACCCCACCTCCCCCGCCGCCCTTGTGTCTCGCGGGGTGGCGTGCACTCACGCAACTCGGGGGTGATGGGGG